TTTGAAAGGAGACAATGTAGCCAATATTTAAAGGAGAAATATTTGTTAATATTTGACAAAGTTTTTGAAAATGTCTTAAGGCTTCATAACAACCACCACCATGGTTTGCGGGACGGTGGTGATGGAGCTTTCCTATAAAAGAAGGTTTTGTAACCTTGAGGACGAGGAGGATCAAGCTGATTAGGTGAATGGATTGGAGATGGAAGAGGAGAATGTAGCGGTTGGTAGTTAGTGTGAGATTCCAAAGGCTTACGGTTGTTATTGGCTTCACCAAGTGCGAATAGGGTTGCCAAGAGAAAAAATAGGGTCAATGAAACACCTTGGGACACCATTTCTAATTTCTACTGATCAATGCTAACGCTAAGATCCTAATTAGACTTTATATATCACATCCGCGTTAATTCGCAGGTAAACACATTAAAAAATATTAATATCAAAATTTAAGTTTTAATTAGTAATCCTTTTAATTACAAAAATATTTTGAAATATTTAAACATGGATCTCAGACCATTAAAGTTTAATTTATATCTTAACTCTCATGTCATAATTCATATTTTGTAGGCAGAAAATATATATACATAAATAGAATTCAAATAATATTCTTAATAACAAAAACAAAATATTCTTACACATTATGAGTTTATATTAACTATATGATAAAATCTTATAACAATTAAAGTATTATAGAGGTAAATTATAAAACAATAAAATTTATGCGAATAGTCTCATAAAAAACCATTAAAATTTTTCTTCTTTTCATATATTTGGTTAGTTTGATTAGTTCTTCATATATTTTAAGCTATTCAGCTCAAATCAAAACTCGCTTCTGCGCTTATGGCCTACATCAATGTGGTCTCAAATTGCTCTTTGCTGCATCATTGACAAGAGATGTTTAATTTGGTTTCTCCATTTACATGCAGAAGAACGCATCAAGGCTTTTTGGGATTAGCAATGCCGAAGCTTCAATAAGAAAATTTCTCATAATTTATGAAAAGAACCAATCATGAGAACTAATCAAAGTAACCAAATATATGAATAATTAATCAAACTAACCAATCATAATTAATTGTTCTTCATATATTTCTCATAATTAATTTGAACCAATCAAATTTCTTTATATTTGGTTAGTTACTTTATAATTTGAACAATAAGAACATTTTCTTCTTTTCATATATTTGGTTAGTTTCGTATATAATAAGATATGCATTGGAATCTGAAGAATATAGACAAAGATCAAGTGAATCAAGCTAGAAGAAGTTAGCTTGAAAATTGGAGAAGCTCAAGTTGATGTAGGCTTCAAGGAAGTTAACACACAAGCTGAACAATTGGAGAAAAGGCCGAGTGTGGGAGAGACTCTCTTGCATTGAGAGGGTTTCTCTAAGCAAGATCCACTAGTTGAATCAGTGTCTCTTTAAGATGTTTACACGTGTACAAGGCAGTGTA